CCTGACACTTCCCCCTGCTCACCATGACGGGCTGAGACTCTGGGTGCAGATCCCAGCTGCTGCTTCATCTGTAAAGTAGGATGTGGTTGTGTTGGGCAGGGCCAGGGACACAGAAGCATAACCATGGTGTTTAGAAAGAGATGGATTTTAAGGGTTCGGCTTACACAGTGATGCGGGCTAGTGAATCCGAAATCTGCCGGGCAGGTCACAGGCTGGAAAACCAGAAGAGATCTTGTTGCAGTCTTGAGTTCACAGGTGCTCGGGCAACCCAAATCCTTCCTCCTCAGGAAACCTCAGACGTTTCTCTTAAGCCCTTCAGCTGATTAGATTGGGCCCACCCTTAGGTGGAGGTAACCCGCTTTACCCAAAATCTCTTGATGTAAAGGTTGATCATGATCAAAAAATACCTTCACAACAACCAGACTGGTGGGTTTTTTTTTTCTGTTAATTTTTTTTATTTGTTTTAATTAGTTATACATGACAGTAGAATGCATTTATGTACTTTGACATACATAGATGGGATATGATTTCTCATTTTTCTGAGTGTACATGTTGTAGAACCACATTGGTTATGCAGTCACATATATCCATACAGTAATAATGTCTGTTTCATTCTACTGTCTTTCCTATCCCCACATCCCCTCCCCTCCCCTCCCATCACTTCCCTCTACCTAATCTAAGGTAACGATATTCTTCCCTAGTGCCCACCAACTTATTGTGAATTAACATCCACATATTAGAGAAAACATTCGGCCTTTGGTTCGTGGGATTGGCTTATTTCACTTAGCATGATAGTCTCCAACTCCAACCATTTACTGGTAAATTCCATGATTTCACTCTTCTTTAAAGCTGAGTAATATTCCATTGAGTATATGTACCACATTTTCTGTATCCATTCATCTATTGAGGGACACCTCGGTTGGTTCCATAGTCTAGCTATTGTGAATTGAGCTGCTGTAAACGCTGATGTGGCTGTGTCACTGTAGTATGCTGATAACCACATTTATGTGGTCTGTCTCTGGGTCCCCTATTCTGTACCTTTGGTCTCCATGTCTACTTTGGTGTTTGACCACACGGTTGGAGCCTGACCAAGCTGACACATTAAATCAGCACCAGGGCTGTCAACAGAATAAGCGAGTCCGAGTACAGGAAAGGTGTGGGGTACACAGTGCCCTCCTCATCCCTGGCTGCCCCTCCCCCATGAAGCATCCGATTCGCATCATTGCAACAACTCTCCCATGAGTATCCCACACCCCCCCCAGGGGACAATTTGAGCCCCAAGATTCACCAGGCCCATAGTTGAAGCAAATCCTTCCCAACAGATTCACCCTGATGGCTGATTTCTCAGGGAATCCCAGGCTCAGCCTCGGCACACACAGAAGTGAATCTGCCCCAGCGGATGCGGGTGGCCCAGCCCCTCCTCCCCTCCATCCCGCCGGCTCCAGGCCAAGTTCCCAGTGCTGAAAACCTTAAGCTCCTAATAATCCACCTTCATAATCCGCAAGGCCGACAGAATCACCTCTGCATTCCTGGGTGGTGAAGGGTGGCCTTCTACCCTGCAAGTGCTTTGACTTGATAAATCATTAAAGCTCAGCTTTCCACACACCGCCCTGTGGCCCCCGGGAAAGGCCCCCTGACTAGCCCCTGGAGACCTGCTTCCAACAAGACCCTCCTGCGAGTGGAGGGGTCCTCAGCCAAGGCAGGATCTTTGGAACGTGCACGCACAGGGCTGGGACTCTGTTTCTGTTGTGTTCGCGTTTGGGTTAACTGTGGTCACACGAAGGCGGCTGGCTTCATGCGGATCCGAGGTGAAGGTTTTGTGGCCTCTTGCAGTTTGTGTCAGTTTCTGAGACTCTTGTCAGGGGGGCACCAAAGGAATGTGAGAGAGAGACAGCGATGGAGAGAACGGAATGAGAACGAGGCGGCGTCCATATCGCCAGGAAGGTGCCGACGTGCGTGAGCCGGGCTTATCAGGGCGGCCTGTCGGGTTTTGAGGTCACCGATCCCAGCTCTGCTCAGCGAGGTTCGCCAAGTCAGGAGCTGCGGGGAGTCATCCGGGGCTTATCAGCTCTTCACGTTTGTCACCGAGGCTGGCCCGGGTGGCGCCAGCTCCTGGCTGGCCTTGCGTCCTCTCCAGCCCTCTGCCAGCTCCACCCCAACAGTCCCATCACAGGCTCACAGGGACTTCAGGGCGGCAGGTGACATGGACAGGGGGCTGAATTGACCACACGTGGTGTCCCCATACGTGGTGAACTTGTAAGGGTCTGGCGAAGCGTCAGAGAAAGAGACCACACAAGAGACCGGCTTCATGCAATTGGCAGGAGGAAGTTTATTGAACCAGCACGCTGGGGCTCACTCAGGAAGGGAGAGCAGCCCAGAGCCCAGAGCAGAAGTCAAGCAGAGCTTAAGTACACTTTTTGGAGAGGGCGGGGGGCTTTGCATCCATCAGAACAAATCATCATGAGGCGCGGGAAAACTGAACAGCAACTCTGAGACGCAATTAGCACATTCATTGGCGGGAACAGTCTGGGCAGGAGTGATTGGTCACTCCTAAGCGGGGTACACATTTAAACTGATTGGTTTTAGGACTACGTGACATACTACACAGAGTCCCAGGTTATTAGACAACCAGTGGAAACAGTGGAAATATTTACTGGGCAGTTCAGGTATTGTCCTAACAGCTACAGGGATTACAGGTTCTGGGGGTAGCAGAGGAATTTTGACACTACCTGGTCTTTCACTTTTTAACTTAGGCCTTGCAGTTTAGGAACTTTGCAATGCCCGGTCTTTTACACTTTAACTCAGGCTTTGCAGTTTAGAATCAGCTTACAAATTTTACCTTTACAAACTCACAGGGTCACCTCACATGAGGACCCCTGGGCACCGGCATGCTCCACAGGCGCGGAGCTCCGCTGCAGGAGTCAGACGTTCAGAACCAGGGTCCTGGGGGCCCTCCGAGCCATAATTTTAAAAAGCACCCGTAGTCCCCAAGGTCATGGTATGTCCATGAACGAAGTACGCTAGAGCAT